AATAAATGACCTCAGATTGCTAAACTGTTTGTATATCTTAAGTCAATCTGTCTGTCTGTCTCTCCCACCCTATCTCCCTGACCGCCTTCCTTTCTGTCTCTCTTTCTTTAGACTGTGAGGTTCCAAGAATTTCTTCTTGCTGCTATCAGCTAGTGCCCTGTGTGGCAACATTCTGGCTTCTAAAAACTCTCCTGCTTCTACAGTAAGAAAAATAAGGTTCTGAGTGAGTTCTCTGCATTTAAAAACATGAGTTTTAGTACCCAAGCTTTCTTTATAACACTTTTTCTGTTTTTGTTTTTCCTGGTCCTTAATGGGATTCCTAACATGGGACCTTGATTTCTAAGTGTTTTCCTTTCAACTGAGTTGTAATCATAAAAGTCCAAACAGACAAAGGAGGGAGCTGAGTGAGTCTGGGAGAAGCACATGGGAAGTGAGGAGCTGCCTAGTCCTGGTAGCTTTGTTTCTGCAGCCTGGAAGCAACTGGCAGGCAGCAGGTGGTCTAAAGCATGAGCCCTGGGGGGAAAGTTCAGCTTGCAGCATTAAGGGGCAAGAACCCTTCCTTGACCTGAGCAGTTACCATTGTGCGGGGCAGTTAACGCACATCATCTCATTTAGTCCTCACAAACTGCACGAGTATTTCTGTCTGTGTGCTACGAGGGACGGAAGCTCAGATAAGTGAGGTCACCCAGCCAGTAAGTGGTGAGGCCAGGCCGTCTGACTTCAAAGGTTGCACCCCTGTACCTGAGTCCTCCATCAGAGGACTTGGGCTCAGAGCAAGGGGGGCCAGACTGGGGCAGGGAAGAGGTGAACCCCCTTATTGTAGGGCTGGAATCCTGCTCGGTGGGTCTTTCTCCACTGGGCCTGTTGAACATTACAGCCCTAACTGTGAAGATTACAGAAAAGAAAAACAAGTGACTCAAAGCACATAGCTGACTTAACAGCAGGATGCTATCCCAGGAAGAAACTTACACATCATGGTTGCAGGAAAGCTTTCAGCCAGCCCTTAGCTCTTCAAAGACAATCCAAGACTCTGCCCAAAATCTCACTTTCAGGTGTGATGAATATACATGTGTCTTTGATGGCTTCTTCGTCTTTAACTCCAGAGAATTCAAACCACAGGGATTTAACCCATCAAATAATTTAATTTGGGGAGAAATCATATGCATATAATGGTATAATGCTTATGACAAATGGTCATACCCTCTCCCAGGGGGTTTGCTGGAAAAGCAGATTCCTGGACCTCCTTTCTGGAGAATCTGATTCAGTAGGCCTTGTACTGGGACCCAGGAATCTGCATTTTAACAAGTACTCCAGTGATTTCAAGGTTCAACCTCTGAAAAATACTCCACCAGAAGACATACTAGAGGCATGTCTGTGAACATAAAAAATGTGAGAAGACCTCCCTCACACATTAAAAAATTATCATTAGATATCCCCTTCTGAAATAACTGAGAGTCAAGGTGGGACTGAGAGCCCCTACAGCAGGTTGTAACTAGCTGGAATGTGGAGTCTTGTTTAGAAGAGCACAGTGATTAAGGGCTTTGGGGCGAGACCCATGCGAATTGGAATTCTTGTGCTGCCACTTCTGAGCTGTACAAAGATGGGCACGTTAGAGAGCTCTGGCCTTGGTTTTCTCATCTGTCAAGTGAGAATAATAGGATCCCAACCTCCTAGGCTGGGAGAACTAGGTAAGGTCATGCTTGCAAAGCACTTTGTTTGGTGCTTTGCCTGGAGCCAGCAGTCATCAAGGAGGCCATATTATTATTGTTGCTATTTCCTAATATTCCCCAGAACTAGTATTGATCAGATAGTATTTAGCAACAGATTTGCTATAGTTTTTTTTAAATAAGCTCTGTGAGGACCTGTTTCAATTTGTGTCTCATAGTAGATGCCCAATGAGAATTTATTCAGTAAACACAGTAGTGATTGACCTTGTCTACCCTCTGAATTTAAAGATGTCAGAAATGAAGGTCTAAGAGGTTATTTGACTTAGCTATGGTCATACAACTAATTGAAGCCAGTGTTAAATTTACACAAAGCTTGATGCTTAGATGAGTCATAGAAGACTGGCTGAGAGCACAGGCTGGGCGTACCCAATCTGGGCCCCGCTCCCAGCTCTGCCATTTTCCACAGTGGGGAGTATCTTGACTTCCCTGAGCATCCAGTTCTTCATCTGCTAAGGAGGGGTAAAGCAGTAGCTGCTGAGCATGGTCACTGTGGAGATGAAATGAAGAGATGCATATAGTGCTCAGTGTACTTGGCAGTATTCTCTTCATGGGACCTCCCAGCAGATTCAGGTGCAGTGCTGGGCACAAGGGAGAGGGTAACTGGGGCAAGAGGATGTTGAGGGACTCTGCAAATCCTGCCGCATGGACTGTTCATGGCCCTGGGTCTGACACTGAGCTTGGGTGGTTATGGCAGTTGGAGGCAGTGGAGCCCCTTTCCTCAAAGTGCTCCCTTCCCAAGGACCCCCTCCATGATGGGTGAGGGGGCAGTATCTTTGAGTTGGAAAGGCACTAATACAACCCAGAATCCTGTCCCTGCCACCCCGAGTCAGGAAAGATCTTATCCCCTTCACCAACTTCTCCCAGCTTCACTTCTGGTCCAGGTAATATCTGCTCTTGGCGGGCATCAGGACAGGGCTCTCTTTTACGTCTAGAATTTATTTAGAACAATGAACACATTTCATTGATTTTTTTTTCTTTTTTGGTTTAGTTGAGCCTTAGGGAGGTACAGTGAAGTCCAGTGAGGAAAAACCGGGAAGAAATGGTCTGATCGTTGTTTATAAGTCTTCAGTCTTTCACCAAGTGGAATAGACAGGCACAGAAACCCAAGAGGGGTGATAGTTGTTCTCTGGGATGCAAAAAAGTTTGCCAAATAAAATTAGCAACCTACTTAAAATATATATCTAAGATTAGACCACTCTATGCTTATTGTTCCTGGTGAATACTTATCTAAGACTAAGATCAGTTTTCTTTCTGCTCCTCCACCCTCCTCACCTAACTGAAATCAACATGAGATGGTAGAGAGCAGATATTTAAGCCCCAGGTAAAAAGCACTGCCACTTGCTCCCAGGACCGTATCCCTGGTCTGCACCCCTGGTGCAACCTGAGTGAAACCTTTAAGCAAAAGGTTTTCATCACAGCCAGTGTGGGTTCTAGTGCAGGGGAGGTCAGATTTACTGAGAGATCTCAAAGGTAATAAGTCCAATTTCCATGGCAAAAGAGAAGTGAATAATTCATCTTCAGGAAACCGTAGGAATAATAAACCATGTCTGGGCTCCTACCAAGTCAGTCCGTGGGCACTTTGACTTGTGATCTCATTCCTGGGCACCTTTTAGTCTTTGGACTTTACAAAAATGCTTGGAAACAGCTTGCAAGTTGCAATTTCATTAAATGCAAAGCTGAAGGAGGAAACCAGTTTCTCTTTTCCCCACCTCACCACTTGACAAGCTTCTTTAGAACAAAGATAACTCATCCCTCTTTGTTATCAAAGTCAGAGAAAATGCAACCAGCATGATTAAAAATGGAAAACATGAAGAATTGTCAGAATGTGGTTTTATGAAGGGTCTGCAGTTTTCCTTTTGGTTTACTCAAATTTCCTTTCTCATTTCCAAACAACAAAATAACCCATTTCCATCTCATAAAGACTCCTGACCTGGAGAAAGAACCAGTACATTACTTAAAAAATTTTTGATCGTGGCTTTAGAGATGATTTTCAGCATACTGTGTTTTAACAAGCTATCACATTAATGAAGTGTGGCATTATAGCAGTGGAAAGAAAAGCAGTACACCTAGCAGATGCGGCCTCAGTGCTTAGGTAGGGGGAGGGAAAGAAAGAGGAACGTTTTCTGTGGCCTTCAATCCCACAGGCCCTTCCAGACATACCTCCCTCCAAGCTGCTTTCATATTCCATTCCTTAACCAGTTAACCCAGGCTATATACTGTTCCCTCTGCCTGTCAGAATTCCCGTCTCCTACCAACCAGTAATGCCCCCCTTCAGCTCTCAACTCGCTCTTGACTTCCTCAGGGAAACCTTCCCTGTCCTCTCGACCACATACATTCCCTCTATTTTATACTGTCATAGCTTCACTGTCCCTGTGGTGCTTATCATAATGAAATGTTAGACTTTTCACTGGCCCCCCGGATCCATGGATGCAAAACTGGTGGCTGCAGAACCCTTGGCGTGCAAATGCCGACGGTGAGAGGCTTGAGCACCTGCGATTTTGGTATCTGTGAGGGTCCTAGAACCAATTCCCTGTGGTTTCCCCAATTTGAGCCTTAACTCCCTGAGGGCAGGAATAGTGCCAGCTTTTGCTACTGCCTAACTGAGTAACTGCTTTAAGTATTTGTGGAATGAGTGAATGCTTGAAGCAAACTTACGAGTTATAAGGTCTAATAGCTAGTTAATGTGATTTTAAAACCAAGCCTGTCCTTATAGTGCTGCAAGATGGTAAGAAGATGCTTGAAAAAAAGAAGAAAAAAAAGATAACAGAAAGCTCCAGGGAACAAGAGAGAGCAGAAGCCCAATTTCTCATGTGGCTAAGCTTCCCAAACCCTATTTGGTCAAACTTGTATCCCTCATATGACTATGGCTGCCAACTGGTTTAGTGATGTGCATTTTGTAGTTGGTGAATTTTAATCCTAACATATAAATTGGGAAATAAATAATAACCAACTTATATGAGCAGCCTAAACTACTTGAGTTCAGGTCTTGTTCTCCATTTTCTAGCTGTGCATCTTTGGGACACTTATGTAACTGCCCAACGTCTTATGTACATCACTGGTGACCTGTGAGCATATCTGCCTCACCAGTGGGAATGGGCCCTACCACATGAGAATGTGCCTAAAACAGTATCAGGCACACGGTAATTACTCAATAAATGTTAGCTATTTACATTACTCTTCCTTTACTATTACATGTCATACCCTGCTTTAAGAGATTTATGTGTATTATTTACATAATTTAGTTTAGTGAAGTTCATAATTTTATTCTTACAGGCGTGGGAACTGAAGATTGCAAAATGGGAAGAATACTGCTCCCAGTGCTCCTTCAGGATGCTGCTTCCATCTATGTTAAGCCCTGGGTTAACTCCGCAGAAAGGTCCCCAGCAATACAGGTGAGGTGGGTAGAACTGCTCTTTCACTCCTTGGGTACAGAAATGTCTCCTTCCCATGCCCACAGTCTATTCCAAGTTGTTGCAATCTACCCATCTGGGGCCATTGGGATGCTTCACTTCCTTCTCTGAATATATAAGCACTTCTCTCTGAGTCCAAGTGAAGGCCAAACAGTGGCCAGGACGTTGGAGGGGACAGTACGATTTGGTCTAGCACTGGTGATCACTAAAACAAACACTTCCTGTTGTCCCAGAGCGCACAGGGAAGACCACGGTTCATGTGGGCTGGAAAAGAATAAAAAAGGAGCAGCAAAGAAACCCAGCTGCAAAGCCAGTGCCTTGTGCTGACTGCTTTTCAGGAGTTAAATATAGCTCCTGTGTGAGGGAGGCAGTGGGGGCAAGGTCACCTTGAAAGGCTTTTGCGTGTGTTAATTACAGCTTATGCAGGAAACTGAATATCCTTTATGCTGAAGAGAATTGTATGAGTTTGACTCCCTGGAACAGAAACAGAATCCCAAGGAAGGGAGGTGGTAAAGAAGAGTGGAAGATTTGGTAGGAGAGGATCTGGTTTGGATTCTAATTCTTTCTACTTGCTAGTGTGGAATCTGGGGCAAGTCATTTAGCTTCTCTGAACATCATTTCCTTCTATAAGAAGGGATTTAGAACCCTCATGTGCAGGTTTGTGGGAGGGGAAATGGAGAATGGCTGGGAAAGCGTTTGTAAACTGTGGGGATTCTTACTGGGGATGGACACGTTTCTCTGTAGCAGAATTCTCTGCTGTACTCTTGTTTCAGGAAGACAGAGTGGCAAGAGGTCAGGGAGGAAGCAGGTCAGTAGGGAAGCAGGTTGTGGGGATGTTTCAGGGTGACTCACTTCCTGGGAGTCAGGCCAGGGTGCCAGGCTCAGGGAAGCCCTGCATCTTAGTGGCCTTTTGAGCAGGTCCTGCTCAGGTCCTGTCATCCACCAGGAGAGCTCTTGTTCTGGGCACATTGTTTCTCAGCCCTGGACGGCTAGGGAAGCTGCAGCTCTCTCTCATCAAGACATTTCCACACAGGAGTGGGTGGGGTAAGCCATTGACTTCCGAGGAAATAACTTGTGGCCATGGGACTGGGCTCTCCCAGAATTGTTCCTTTGTCTGCAGATTCCTCCCTGTTTAGCTGACAAAGGAAATGGTTCCAGGAGGAAGTGGAAAACTGTGACACACACATGCTCACCCCTCACACACAAGATGGCAGCTGCTTCCTTTTGTGGTAGTCCCTGCCATCTCCTTACCAAAAGAAGTGGCCTGGGATACCTGATACAAAAGCAGGTAGTATTTTTGAGCTCTTAAGTGATCCTAAGCATTGTGTGTGGATTACCTCATTTAATTTTCATAATGGCTTAGTGAGGTAGTTATTGTTCTTTACCCTCTGTTTTACACCTGAACCATGTGAGGCTCAGAGAGGCACAGTCATTTGTCTAAAGGCACACAGCTAGCAGAACCAAGACTCAAAGCTAGACACTAACTCTAGGGCCTAAACTTATATTTGCTGCATCGTAATTCCTTCTGGCTGCCTTCTTCTAACAGAGGTTCCCTACCCGCAAAGCTTGCTGGAACCAGCAGTGAGCCCCTCATGACCATTCCCTACTGGTGACCATTCCTAGGATGGGCTCTTGGCCTGAGGCCTGAGGAACATAGCATGTATTTATCTTTATTCTGTTCAATGGAGTTTTAAAAAATTATCATTGTTTACTATTTCTTACCTAGTCTCAATATCTGAGGCCCCACTTGTAGTGTTTCCGTTGCATGGCTTGTTCTCCAACTACTGCACACTATTAGCTGTGTGACCCTGGGCAAGTTACTTCACTTGTCTGTGTCTCTTCATCAGAATAATGGGGATAGTAATAATACCTACACCTTACAGAGTTGTCATGAGGGTCCATGAGATGTTATGCGGACTGCTTAGAACAGTTCCTGACACATACCAAATTGACTGCTGTTATTAAAATTTCCTCTGCTCTCCAGGTAGTGCCCTCTTATCCTTTGAGAGTTTGTTTAGAGGCCACTTCCTCCAGGAGGCCTGTCCTGCTCTCCTGGACAGGTGAAGTCACCCTGTTATACCCTCCAGAGCAGACAGTTTGTTCACTGTCCTTCTCCATTAAAGTGTGAACCATGAGGGTGGAGATGAAGCCTGACTTAATATCTGCCACTGCTGCCCAGTGCCCAGCACATCCTGAGCACACAGCAGGTGCCTTGCAGAGGGATGAACTAATAGCCCAGAATTCAGAGGAGCAACCACAACTAGGGAGGGGGCTGTAAGTCCTGCCTATGACAATTGTCTCCAAGAGCAGAAGGGCTCATGGGGGTAGGGGAAAGGGAAGGTGAAGCAGACTTGTTCCCTGGGGCTCTGGAGGACAGACCTGGACCAGTGGTGCCAGCTCCAAGACCACAACATTAGGTTCACTGTATACAGGAACTCTCCAGAAATCTGAACTAAGAAGAGAGGCAGATGCCTTTTCCAAGAGGGCCTGAGCCCAGGTGGAACAGCCTCTTGGCAAGAAGGTTGGGGTGCATTAGTACAGTGGGTAATTGTGACACGGGGTGACTGGGGCAAGAAACATGCAGAATCAAACCTGGGATTTGCCCTCCCAGCCCAGTGACCCCAAGAAGGTGACATCAGCTTTCTCATTTGTGAAGCAGAGATAATGAGAGCACTTATCTCAGAATGTCATGATGACAGAAAGGGAGATAATTCATGAGGAGCTTTAAGCATGTATGAAACCTGCAAAGGTTGGCTATTACTACTGCTGTTGTTGCTGTTAGCAGTTACAGGGGATTCAAGCATCACCCAGAGGTTAGTCTGGACATTCTAGGTCAGAGGCTAAAGGTTAGTCTCAGAATGGCCACCCTGATTGCTGCCTGGATGGGAGGTCTAGGATTTTCCCTGTCTTCCTTCCTTCCCCTTGCCTGCAAAAGCCTTCCAGTACTAACCCTGGATTAGATTCTGGGCCAGGTACCCAGGAATGCAGCACACAGGGAGACCAGCCACCTGGGCAGGCTTTGGGAGGTGCCTAGGGTAATTCCTGCCTTCAGGGCTGGTGGGTAGGCTCAAGAAAATGATGATTGAAGGTCCTGGGAATGAATGTCTTGAGTCTTAAGGAACCCCAGACAAATGTCTCCTTTGCTCTCCCATTAGATCAACAATTCTACACACTTAACTCTGTTTGCAAATGGACAAAATTTGAAGTTTTACATTTCCCTGTCCTTAATTTAAACATGAAGGTGAGTTAATCTTACACAGTTTGCTGTTCACTTGCAGTGTTTGCTGTGGCTCCTATCTGGTCACTTCCTTCCAATCTCTCCCTTTCTATTCTTTTTTTTTTTTAAACTTAATTAATTTACTTTGGGGGTAATTTGGTTTATTTATTTATTTAATGGTGGAACTGGGGACCTCATGCATGCTAAGCATGCACTCTACCACTGAGCTATACCCCGCTCTTTTTCTATTCTGATGTGAGCTTTAATTTCCCCCAAATGGCAACATTTGCATAACCCCCTCCTGCTCACATCTCGTCAGTAGCTCCCCAGGGCCTAGGCACCAGTTTCTTTTGTGACACAGATGGTAAAAGATCTTCCCATGCTCCCTGCACTCCCTGTGGTTTATCCTCATTCCCTCTGTAATTCCATCTCTTCCCAGGAATGGGTAGGCGAGAGGCGAGAGGGAAAGCGTCAGAGAACTTGGATTCTATTCTGATTTGTTAAGAAAGGTGATCATTTATAAATCCCTAATTTAAGCATTAGCTTTTTTGTTTGTTTGTTTTAATTGAATGCTTCCTGTGTGCTGAGTGCTTTCCTTGAATGAATCCAATTATCCCCCAGAGGTAGACAGGAGATTATTATCTCCCTTTCTGGTTGAAGAAACTGAGACACAGGATTAAGTGGAAGGAGTAGAGCTGGGATTCAAATGCTGGCAACCTGACACTGCCGCCAGCGCTCTCAGCTCCCACGTTATGCTGCCTCTATTATTAGTTACCAGTCACACTCTCAGTTAGGGCTCTGGAGGATAAGGCCCTGCTCGAGGCTGCATTTTACCTCTGCCTGCTTCTCTGGGCTGTAAACACACTGACCAATTTGTGCCCTGAGCACAGTTTCTGTGCCTCTCTTCTTTCTGCTCTGTTTTCTCCACCTAGAATACCATTCCCCCAGTGTTCCTGAGGTTCTTGGCTAGAAAGTGTCCCTTGAGTCTTCTGGGCCTTCATATATTCTCTTTGATGGACACTGACCAGATATGACCCCATGTAACAGGCACTGGTGACAGAGTCTCACTTTCTCTGCCTCAGTAGGAGACTTGGGGTGCAGGGACCCTGAGCTACCCCTCCGCAGCCCTTTAGAGCTACAGATGGTTGCTGGCTGGAGGTGAGGAAATGCTGTCAGTCCCCCCAGCTTCCCAGCACTCTCCTAGATCAGTTTTCTTTTTGGTTCAAGTGGAGCTAAAAAAAAAAATCCCCTTTGGTTTCATATCAGCTGGATTTGCTCTCAGTAAATCCTTCAACAAGAATGGGCAGGGAGAATAAACATTTATTCTACAGATGAATAAATCTGATTCCATCTTCAAAAGAAAGCCTTAGTATAAATTATCATAATTTCTCCATTCTAAGATTTCACTGATTTAAAGATGTTTTATTGAGTAAATAACAGCTTTTTGGAAAAAAAAACAGAAAAATGAACAGATCAATGTATCAAATTTAAGATATGTTCTGATTTTTAAAATGTCATAGTATCAGTGAAATATTTTTAAAAATTTTGCCCAATTCAATTTTTTTTTCTTTTGATTCTGGTGGTTTTAGAAAAAGGGCTCCCAAGCCTTGACTAAACCCCTGCGAAGCATGGGCAGGTGTCAGCAGTGTCCCAGCCCTGAACCCCTGGGCTTGCTGGGTCAGCAAGGGCATGTCAGGCTACTCACACGCCAGTGGCAGCCCTGAGGCCCCCAAGGCCAGTGGACAGGTTTTCTCCCCATCAGAACTATGT